ACTCCAAGGCTCGAACCCGTGACAGCAGAAGGCGCAAGACGCCATTCCATCGCTGGGCCGGTATCTTGGGTGCTTATTAATATCTTTTTAAGAATACTTATAATGTTGTAATTGTATCATAGATGTCTTTCAGCAATAAGTTATAAATATCACATTTTCTAACTATTTGATTTTTTTGTATTTGTGTTAATTTACAATTTTTTTTTTAAATATGCTAATAGCCAATAATATAGTGTCCGAATTAGTGCATCCATAAAGGTTTGCAATCTTAAACGTACTCCATTAAATATATCCTTCAATTTTCTGCATACAATTTTGTGTTATTCTCCTGGATATTTGCACAAATTCACCTTGTGTGAAATCAAGCACAATAAAGATTTAAATCGGATTGTTTGAATTATTGATAACTTGCATGCACAGCCAGATGAACTGAAATATGGTGCTTTTTTTAAAATCTGCCACCTTTCAAATGACATAAATATGCATGTGCTGTATTTTTTTTGCATACAAGTTTTATATATATATCAACAGTTTTAATTTTTCAATTAAAAAAAAATAACCAAGAGAAAAACCTTATCTAGACTGGGATTCTTAATTGCAAATGTTTCTTATGAAGTAGGATTTGATTTAAAAAAAAATAAAAATTAAATCATTGGTTAAATACAAAATCTATTTAAAAAAACAGTTAATCTTTTCTACAATTAAAAAACATGTTTAAGGTTTTTAGAAACTCTATTTAACTTAATTTTATTTTTTTAAAAAATAAATAATTAATTATTTTAATATAAAACGTTGTTGGTAGGAATGTTTTATTAAAAAATGTATATATATATATATATTACCAACAGCGTTTTTTTTTTTAAGGGTGATAGTCTTTTTTAAAAAAAAACTTAAAAAATTGTAAGAAATTAATTATGTAATCCCATCATATATTTTGAGCATCACGTGAGCCACAGTAATAGACAGGCAACAGCCGAGCTAGCAAAAGAAGCCAGCGCCATACAGTTGGCGCCATATAACTGGCAGTTGAGAATCTTCTTTAATTACTAAATCAACTAACTTTTTAATTAATAAATGAACGACCTTTTTATTTAGCGACACAAAAGAGCAGAAAGGAGAAATCTCTTCATTTCTCCTTTCTTTCATCTCCATTATAATCATTGTTTCGAGAGAGAAGAAGAGGAAGGAAGAAATTATGAGGGAGATAATAAGCATACATATTGGACAGGCAGGAATTCAGGTCGGGAATTCTTGTTGGGAACTTTATTGTCTTGAACATGGAATACAGCCAGATGGAACGATGCCTAGGTAATTTAATGTTGTTTATGTTTTTCTGTGAAATCAATGTTTGTTTGTGGTCCATTAATTATTTTAATTCATGGGATCATTTTGTCTTTCAATATTTGTTTCTTCTTCTTGTCATCCATTTTTACGTTGTGTGGGTAATTTGTGTTATGATTTTAAATCAAGGCAATCATCTTTAATTTCATCGAGTTTAACGGATCAGAATAGTTTGCTGTGTTGGGAGTTTTTTTCTTCTTGTGTTTTGGTGATTTTGCATTCGGAATAAAAGATGAATTTTGTTTTAATGTATATTTCTGCATGATTGAATTAGACAAAAAGAAAAAAGAAAAGATAGTTGCTGTTTCCATGAGGTAAACTATGTAAAGGCCGTGGAATTCAAAAATCTTGATTAATTGAGGAGTTGAGATACATGCTTTCCAAAAAGGGGTTGGAAGTATATGAAATCAGAAGTTAATAGGCCAATAAAAGAAGCAGAATCTCATTTTCAAATATGTCATGGTAGATAATTAAACCGTCGATGGTAAATCTCTAGGTTAGAGAACCATGCCATTCTGGTTGTGCAAAGTTTTTTTTTTTTTTGATGATATTCCATTCATAATTTTGGTAGAGAGCAACTGGATCTTACTTTTCCATATTTACTATTTCTGGAGGGCGCCCAATTTTTAAAATTGATTAGACTGTTCTATATCCTGTTGCAGTGACACCTCAGTCGGAGTGGAACATGATTCTTTCAATACCTTCTTCAGCGAAACTGGTTTAGGCAAGCATGTGCCAAGAGCTATATTTGTTGATCTTGAACCCTCTGTCATTGATGAAGTCAGAACTGGGACTTACAGACAGCTTTTTCACCCCGAGCAACTTATGTCTGGCAAGGAAGATGCTGCTAATAACTTTGCCAGGGGACATTATACAGGTATATGAAAAAAGCATTAGCAATGCACAGTTAAATGTTTAGTTCATTTTCGTTGTTGACATTGACAAAATTGCCGCATTGGTGTTTTAATACTGCAGTGGGAAGGGAAATTGTTGAACTATGCCTTGACCGCGTGAGGAAATTGGCTGACAATTGCACTGGCTTGCAAGGCTTTTTGGTATTTAATGCTGTTGGCGGTGGCACTGGTTCTGGTTTGGGCTCTCTACTTTTGGAACGCTTGTCTGTGGATTATGGAAAGAAGTCGAAACTTGGCTTCACTATTTATCCTTCTCCTCAGGTATTTCCTTCAAATAATTATTAGAAATCATTGGAGAGGTAAATTGTAGAAATCCTTTTCTGCTAATTGTAAAATTCAAAACAATTCCAGGAATCATTCTTCTGCTGGATGTTTGTGGACAAGCTTGTGGTTG